CAGGCTCCATGGCCAGCACGTTACCATTGAACCACTGGGTCGGAGTCCAATGGTCCATATTTCCAACTTCTGTGGTTGCGCACTGCTGAGGAGTCCCATATTAGGAAGAACCAGCTGTCCAGTGCTCCCAGGTTTCCACTGTTCTTCAGACTGATGTTATTCTACGATGAATATCAACTTTTGTATTTCGTATGGTAAGACAATTTTTTATTAAAATAAAGGGATGTGAGTGGTTATCTCAGGAATTATGGTTAGAATGACCTTTAAAGTCACTTCAACAGCTGTTGAAGTATAAGAGCGTTTTAAGCTCTGCATGTTTCCCATTCAGTTTATGTAGTTGTAACTATGAAAGTGATCAGTCATGACCACAGTTACCAAGTCTAAACCACTGAAATAACTAATAGAGTTTATTTATTTCGGTTTGAAGGAAAGCTTATCGTCAAGTACGAAACTCCATTTGAAAGTTAGTGAAAAGTTCCAAGCTTTAGAAGACGTAAAAAGTGAATACATCCACTCCCACTGAGGGTAATTTTTAGCCGTGTTACCAAATTCCTCCAACCACTGAATTCGATCTTTTTACGTCCTCAAGGCGACACTGTACATGCGGGTAAAGGCAAACAACATTACTGAATGAATTATCTTCATTACCTAGTACTCCTTGCTTAATCTGGACATCCTTCATAAGGTGGCTGCATCGTATATAAGCAATTCAGCTGTTATCCACCTATAACATCTCATCTTTTAGCCACCAATTCTCATTTGTATCAAAGGATAGAATGAACTACAGTGCAGTATGCTGGTCCTCAAATTGCCAGTCAGATACCTTCCGGGGCAAGAGATAACGTAAACTGTCAACTGCAAAGTGGATCTTTTGTTACCCAGCTGAAATTTCGTCAATAATTAACACAAACAGGTAGAGTGGTCAACGCATTCTAACACTCCATTCCCTATACTTAATCTAAAACTATCTGCAAACCACTGGTGGAGCATCATCTTATATCTGACACGTACGACAGGCACGCCAAATGCACTCAAATTATGTGTTGAAGGCGTCCATCAAACCAAGGATTTTGTCGACATCACTTAATGGAACAATATCGTCTGTTAAATCCAGGTCAACTGGGTGTCCCCTAGGGAATAGGTCGATGTTCGTAAAGTCAAAGGTACGTAAAGTTGTTAGTTAGCATGTCTACGGTATGGTTTAACAGTAACGGTGACATCGAAAATCTCTGGTAGATACCACTGGTTGTTATCGCTTCAGATGGCAACCGTTTATAAGCCCTTATATAGTTGGATGATTTAGAGTAAATGGCTGTATTCAGTGTTATATACTTCTTCAATAATTCCACTAGAATCACAAACCGCCGCAAAACCTCTTAATCAACAGAATCAGATACCATCTTTAGGTTAAGAAACATGAAACAATTTTCGAAATGATAAGTATTCTTGTGTTGGAAAAGCTGTCGATAAGTCTATGTTTACATATGAAACTTGCCTGGCTTTCTTGAGTTCGCTGTTCTTAAGCCCCACCCATTCCATCTAACTATAAAGTCAAGGATCTTGGACACAATGTTAGTCATAGTAATTCTCCTGTTATTGTCGCATTCTAATAAACTGGAATGACGAGTAAAATGTGGCTGTCTGAGGAGACAACCTTTGATCTCAATACGCTACGTATATTACTTACACTTCTCTCTTCTATAATTTTTTACCTCAGTCCTTGAAAACTTCTTATGGTAAACTATTAGGTTTTTCTACTTTACATCATTTCTGGTTTGAACCAGCCTTTTCAACTTCATGACCGATAACCACGTCTTATTCAAATTCAGTCTAGATATCAGATAACTGAAACATGACTGTAGCTTAGTTGAAATGTGCTCCACAGCTTTCTGTTTATCCTTATAGGTTATAATGGATCTACGTCTTCAGAGAAATAGTCAAGACAGGGTATCCAGGAAACAAATATAATGATAAAGAATGTTTCAAACTAATGAAAACTTCTGTAACAACCTAAGAAGAACTCACAAGATAATGTGCATAGAAAAAATTGAAACTTGAGACAGCTTAGTAAAACAACAATCCTTGCGATCTTTAGAATATCATATCAGTCAATTTATGCATCTCAACTATTCCAAACGCTTAGTCAGTATATCATTTCCATATTTTCTGTAGAGTAATTTGTAAATCTGTTTACTGTTTGATAAAATAGTGACATTTTAAATTTTATTTTTTTCATTAGTTGCTACATTTTCATACAGATAATAAAAAAAACAAACTTGAAACAGTTAGTCCGTTTTATGAATTTTGATAGCGTAATTAGAAGACAAAAGACGCGCCAAGTCTCAGTGCTCCTGTATGGTTCAGAGACTTGGCGCGTCACGAAAGGCATTTCCAATAAACTACAGACATTCATCAACAACTGCTTACGCTGGCTCGCTACTGAAGATCAGATGGATTGCCAGAAAGAATAAGCAACAAGGAACTCTGGGAACGAACCAACCAAGAACCTATCACGCAACAAATATGCAGGAGGAAGTGGAGATGGATTGGACATGCACTGAGAAGGCAGACTGAGGACATCACGCGTCAGGCCAGTTGCTCGAGTGGAATCCCCATGGGAAGCGACGAGTTGTCCGTCCGAGATGAGGGTGACATGAGGAGGTCGTGCGAGGAGGAAATGAGAGCTTGTAGGCTGTCATGGAACCAGGTTCAAAAGATCTCAGAGAACAGGATGAAATGGAGACGTGCTACTGAAGCCCTATGTTCCACTAGGAACCCAAGGGACTAATAATAAATAAAAAATTAGAAGACAAAGTTTATCTGAACAATGTGATGTGTTTGCGTAAAACACATTTTGAACAATCTGATCCTTTATACATTTACTCGTCTCAAGTCAATATATATATTAAACCGAAGACTGGGAGGTGGGATAAATACAACAATTAACACCATCAGGCGATTAAAACTAAGAAAGATGAGGACAAACAGGAAGAGTGACATAGTTGGTCCTAATCTTGGTAAGAAAACAAAGTTTATCAAGGGGTAGGTGTAGTGTAATAACAAACTGTTTTTGTACACATAAAGGTGGTTTAAATTTGTGGATGGCTATGGCTTCGGCAAATCTCTGAATCGTCCCTGACTGTTTCTATATAAGACTTTGAAAGCTATTTGAACACTAACTTTGTGACCTGTTTCTATGATATGTTTAGCTATAGATGAAAAGGGTCGTCTCCCACCAGCTTTTATCACTGTTTCACACTCCGTTTGTTTTTGAAGCCATTTAGGCACATGTTCTCCCATCCTCAACTTGAATTTTTTTTAAAAACTTCACGTATATACTTCGCAAATTTTAACTGATCATTATTTCAATTAGAATCTAAGCATAAGTCAGCTGATACCGTATGAATGGGATCCCATGTCCACAAGATATGATCAGATTACTTTTTTTTTCATTCACAGCCTAGATATTAGATAAACTAAAGCAACCATCTATGAAAATTATCTCTGCTATTGAGGAAACAATATATCTGTTTCGAATATATAGTTTACGTGGTTAGAACACAAGTTAGTTAGTTTTCTCATGTATTTTAGTTCACTAACTCTAACCGTTAGTATTTAGTACAACCAACCAAATATGTGCCTGCTAGCTGGTCAAAAAAGCGACCAGATTTATAGATGCTTACTATCTATACTAGTTTACATATTTGAGTGTAAAGAGTCAACATTTCTGGATGGTTTAAACCATATCCAATTGATACAAACAGCAGACAGTCATTTCCTCTAGTCTCAAGTTAGGTTACCAGGACTGTATCAGGACATATCGAACTCAGACAGCCTCATCGCTTAGAAGACTATATATATACCAGTTGTAGAGATCAACCTGTGGTAAAAAACGGAGGTGAGCTCTCAAGGTCAATAAATGTCCTTCAGAAACACTCACGGAACTTGGAAATGCTTCATTTCTTTATGAAGTAAGTGTTGATAAAGTCGTCTAGCCAGGAGCAAACCTCAAACCTTAGAGAATATCAAAGAATTTTCATACTTTAGTGTCATGATCGAAACTATTGCTAATACTTTGAATGAGCGCTTCACTTATGATTAAGTATAGACTATGTCATCCACGTCGACACTTCTTTCACCTTAGACACCCTTTCATGATTCATTGTGAGGTGATTTACGTCATGGTCCAATATTTTGCGGAATTGTTTCAATTTTAAAGTTTATGAATCTCCGTCATTCATTTAACTGAATCGATCAGTCACCATTGGCATATGTACACCTGAGCAGATGCCTTAATATTACCAGTAGTTTCAACTTTAACATTAATGATGAAAACAAGGCTAGCAGGATGCATGTTTTGTCGTTCTCATGACTCATTGTCCTAATGGATAATTCTTTGGTGTTTGAAGCATTTGGTCCTGGATTCGACTACTTGTTAGAAGGCATTTGCATCCAGCTAATGAGTCCCTAACAGGATGAAACGAATGTTCTAGATTCCACTACTATTCATTGTCTTTCATCAATATTAATTTTGTGAAATAAATACAAATAGGTAGTTGGGTCATTGTCAAGTTAAGAAGTTGTAATTTCTGGTTTATTGTATCATCACTCACTTAAACCTTCCTTTGTTAATACACCACATACACATATGCATGTATATTACCCGCATTCTACTCACATCCCTGTACTGTATTAATCGTCTATTGAAATGAATCAATAGAACTGGTCACATGTTACCTAATCACTTGAAATCTACACCATCAAAATTGACCAATAGTTGAAAAGATTTTTACACTATTATGACAATATATAAATCATATATATAAATTTTACTTAAATTCTATACAAAAATTAGCATAAAATTGATCAATATTCCTTTAAATAACGAATAGTTTTCTTATCCTACCAAAGTGTCTCTTTGAATAAAATAATCTGTACTAATACTTAATACATAAATTTATCACTTACCCCGTATAATCTAAATTTACAAGGACATATACATGTCTACTGCAAGAACAAAATTATTATCGATAAAATTTTTTATAAATGAACCAGGAAATGGTGATAATACAGTCTATCGTTGGATGGCACCAGTTGCAGTTCGACATTTAGAATGGGATAAAGTAATTAAAAAATTACATTTTGTAACGCATAAGAAATATGGTGGATTTGAAATGACATGGTATGGTAAGTATTTTTGATGGTTTTACAGTTCACATGCTTACACTATATATACAAGTTACAGATGTTCGTCAAGTAATTGCCAAGTTCATGGCGTTTGAAAACCGTTAGCAGTGCATATTAAACGATCATAAACCATCCTGCAAGGCAAGCACACAACTCTCATCCACTGACCTCATCTCTCTTCAACTTCATTATTACTACTTTCTTCCTTTGGGTTCCTACTGAAATACACCGCTTCAGTAGCACACCTCCATTCCACTCTCTTCTCTGCAATCTTTTCAACCTCTCACCACCACTCCCTATAACTTTCATCTCTTCATCACAAGATCTCCTCCATGTCACCCTCGCCTCACACGCCAAACTCATCGTTCCCCCATTGCTGTGTCATGCCCTAATCGGCCTTCTCAGTGTATGACCAATCACTCTCCACTCTCTACTGCATATTTGTTCACCGATACCTTCTTCGTTGGTTCGTTGCCAGAGTGAGTCCCTTCTTCCTTATTCCAATTATTCTGGCCATCTGATCTTCACTGTCAGTATCGAGTGAGTGTAGGTGGCAGTTGTTGATGATGTATGTGAGTAGTTTGTTGGGAATGCTTTTCGTGACAAGCCAAGTTTGTGAACCATCAGATAGCAGCACTGACTGACTGACTTGGTGTTGAAAATCTAGATGTTGTTCTCGCTTTATGCTGAGAACAGTGTGGCACATCTCCACACTGATTATTTCGGATTAGTGAAAGCCTGTCTTGCTGTCTTCCCAATCCTGGTTGCTTTGACGTCCTCATTGTGCCTGTGCCACCTGTAGTTGAAAAGATGCCGTCTAGCTAGGTAGCTAGGTGGTAGAGACTACTTCCTTTAGGTTTCTCCCTTCATGGTGATTGGTGCTTGTTGTTGATACTGTTGTTGGTTGGCTGTCTTCATCGTCTCCAACTTCTCTACATTCACTCGAAGTCCCGTCTTGGTTGCACTGCTCTTTTGTCAACATGTTAATCTTTGCCTGTAGATCTTCGAGTTTTTGCGACATTAAGTATAAGTCGTTGGTGAAATCCAAATTTTTTAGGGTCTTCTCATCGGTTCAGCCAATGTATTCCCATCTTTTCGTTCCTCATGGTTTGCTGCGTGCTCCAGTCGACAACAATCACGAAGATCGTTGGTGATAGTAGGTGGAAACCTTGTCTTACTCCTGTCGCTTCTCTTTACTTCAAAGGCGTGGATCACTTGGCATGTGGCCTTTTCATGTAGCTGTTGAATGAGGTTGATAAAGATTAGTGGCACTCCGCAGTGATGAAGCAGCTGCCTGTCGAATTACTCTGTACCGAAGCTGTCAAGGGTCTTTTCAAATTTGATGAAGTTGAGGTTGAGTTGACTGCCATTCTATACTCTGTCCTATCTGTCTTCACCTAGCAAAGTCTAAATAGCCAAGTAGAATCTTCAACTTATGTTGTAGTTAAGAGTGCGAAGAGATTTCAGTTTAGCCATCACATTCCTCAACATGGAAGGTTTTTGGCAATTATATTAGATGAAAAGAAGATTATGAAAGGCGAAACTGTGACGTAACCTCAGTTCATTAAGTTTTATGATTGTTGGCGTGAGTTCTATAGAGAGATGTATGCTGCGTTTTGAGGATATTTAGTGCAACAGAAGTAAATTATTGAAGATTCCTTCCAATATGACTGGAAATCGGTCACAGAAGTAAAGATTTATCTACTGTTTCCTATCTTTGAACTCTTGGATACTACAATCGCTCCATAACATCATCTCTCATATACTTTCTGCTTATCTTGATGCCATTCATCCCTAATTCATTTATGACAACCTGAACTGATCCATTCTGAAGCCAGATTCTGTGTTGATCAGTCCCCTTGTCATTTGAAAGGATATTAGCAGAAAAGTAGTTGAAATTTCTGAAAATTTGTCTGTGTTAATTATGAGACCTTACTACAGAAATTACGGTGAACTTTGTTCACCAAATGTATTATTGTTTATACATGATTTCTGACATTAAGTTGACTGGACATATGAAAATGCATTCACAAATAAAGCTGATCCTTGAATAGATGAGTATTTTAAAAAGCTATGCGTAAGTTATGCTGATAAAATCCCACTTTACCAATCTGTTTTGGTCTGAGAGAGAGGAAGAGAGCTAAGCATAAGCAAAAAAGGTAAGTAGATGAAAGCATAATTTCAGTGGAAAGTGTCTTCGGCAATTTCATTTTCAAAGCTGTACGATCACAAATCTATACTTCCTTCTAGTATAAGGATTTAATAGTTCAGAAAGATTTGTCAGGCATGACAACACAAATATTGTCAATAAGTGAACTGTCATTTCAAAATCACGACACCAAAAGCTGAAATGAGTAGTGAATATTGATGAAAACAATTTTGAACAGGAAGTTTCATGACATGAAGACGTGATTGGAAACTGTATTGTGGTTTGACAGAGCGTAGCAACAAGAATGAGTAGCAAATTATTTAAGAAGTGAATTGTGTGCAAATAGAAAGATGGGAAGAAAAAGGGGATAAGGTTAGAGGAGACTGAAAGGTAACACCATGAAAGGAGATGGGGCTGGACAATGTTCCATTGTGTACACAATTCAGCCTTCTCCATTTGGATGACAAGAGCTTCAGCAATGCAGAGAATACAAAGACATACAGCCTTTGACAGGTTTCTTTTCACCTTACAGAAGACTTTGAACGAGGAGGTTCGTGAGATGGGATGGGATGGTTCGTGTTCATGATGTGTTCAGTTATAGCATTCCTTATCGTTCCATTGTTACCTCTTTGTAACAACACGTGATAGTCTTCTTGACCCCTTTCGGATAACGGTAGAGTCAATGGCCTATATACCTGACTCCACGACAGCAGGTGAATGGATATATGCAGAGAGAAGTGGTCAGATGTGAAAGTTTCTTATTTGAGTTGTTAGAAATCTCTGAGCAACAGGAGAATGAAAGTCTCAGTGTTGATGCAAAAAATGTTTGATATCCTCCATTTTAAAGTCTCAGCTGCAGAATCATCTTTGAGGTTTAGATTCAAATGGGGTATCTTTTTGGACAAGGTGGTAAGGTTCCCTTTGCGAACTTTAGGTTTGATGTGTTTGTCTCTGAAGTGTGGTAGGAATCCGTTTCCAATCAGGATGTTCTTCAGAACAGAAATTTCCTCTTCTAACACATCGGGACTGCAGATTCGTGTGATGTGGGTGGCAAGAGATCAGATGAGATTTCGCTTACGGCTAATAGGGACCCAGCTAGTAAAGTTCGTCAGTTGACCGTTCCACATTGTTTCTCTCTCAATTGATCTGCTTAACCTTCCATCAGACGTTCTTGTCATCTCAGAGGTGAATCTAATTGCTGAGTAGCAGTTACTGACTATATGTAGAACATGATTCAAATCATTTTGATGATTACATATAATAAAATTTTCATGCGTGCACCTTTTGCACAGATGAAGACCTTCAGTCATTGATTTCAAGTGTCCGTTCTCCAATCTGTTCATGAAGCAGTCTGCTAGTAGTGTATTTAGTGGGGATTCCATCTTTCTGTCTGTAAATTACGTGGTTGAATGTAAACTGAATGTTGAATGTGCATCTAAGTAAGAGTTTGTTAGGGCAGGAGGCCGGTATCCTAACATTTATGTTGTTATCTTCTATGTGTCTGCATAAGAATGAGATATTCTCGGTTAGTGGTGAAAAGTGACTTGACATCAAGCAATATCCTATATTTATTAGATACTTCTTCTATGAGCATATATCAATTCATGTGGTCTTGTGGAGTCAGGTATATAGGTTGTTTGACTGTACCGTTATCCGAAAGGGTTCAAGAAGACTATCCGTGTGGTTGCAAAGAGGTAAAATGGAACGATAAAGAATGCTATAACTGGATACATCATGAACACAAATCACCCCACATGAAATACCTCCTTGTTTAAAGTCGTCTACAGTTTTAATGACAAGCCATTTTATTGACATTATTTGTGTTGCCATGCTTGACAAATCGTTTTTAACTATTAAATGCTTATAGTAGATGGAAGTATAAATTTGTGATTATTGTACAGCTTTGAAAATGAAATAGCTGCAAAGATAATCTTCTCTGAAATAGGCTTGTTCCTCTTTCATCTCCTGATGGATATATTTCACACATTGAATGCAGAAGAAACTTATTTCAGTCTGCTTCTATGTGAACAAGGAGTCGAACTTAAGTTTCAATCACCTAAGTTTTCAGTGAGTCGTAAAACTTTCGTGAAGCTTAAAACAAATAAATCCTTTTAAGAATTTCAATAATGTAATAAGAAGATGAAGTTCATCTGAACAATGTATGTATGATATATATATATATATATATATATATATATATATATATATATATATATTCACGCAATACGTTTCAAACAATCTGATCACCCACACATTTACTTCTCCGGTCAATTTATATTAAACAGAAGGATGAGAGGACAAGGAGAACAAATGGGATAACTGAGGATTAAAATTAAAAAAGATAAGAATAAACAGGATGAGTGATATATTTGGCGCTAATCTTGGTCAGGCAACGAAGTTTATCAAGATAAGTTTAGTGCTAAGAGAAACTGTTTTTTGTACACTCAAATTTAATTCCAATTTGTGTATGCTTATCTCTTCCGCAAATCTCGGTATACATGTAACTTTGAAAGCTATTTGAATATTAGACGTGTGATCCCTTTCTACAATATATCAGGTTATATTTGAAGAGGATTGTCTCCCATTGTGCTTATCAGTGTATAATTGAGCCATGCAGCTGAGAGTTGCTGAAAAAGCAAGTGGAGTGTGAAACTTTGTCAGGCGCACGTGGAAGGCATAACCGTCTTCTATTATAATTAAACATATCATACACATCATACTAAACAGCTTCCAAAGTTGGATGTAGATAGAAACAGTTAGCGGTGCATACTTAGATTCGCCGAAGGGATAGTCACACATAAATTGAAACCACCTTTATGTCTACAAAAACAATTTGTTCTTTGTTTGGCCA